CTTTAATTACTTTGTTATATGTTGGTTGACAGGATATAAAAGTTGTTTGTTTGACTTTATTCACATTTAGTTTGGATGCTCTTCCAAGAGTCACCTGTCCAAATCATCCTGATGTGGTTTTAGTGGAGGACTACAGAGCTGGTGATATGATATGTCCTGAATGTGGATTGGTTGTAGGTGAGTAGTTACGTTTTTGCACTTCATTTGTATATTTTCCAAATGATCTTTTTTCCCCCTCTTGTTTTTACAACTACTTTACTGAAACTCCTTGTTTATAATTTATTCTGCTAAGATTAGTAGCATACCAGTTACAAGAAGTGTCAATGCTGTCCCAAATGCTTGATCTGCTGTATAAGTTCATGATTTCCAGCATCTACAGCTCCACTTTTGTTCAGTTCCCTAGCTCCTCTATGTCCTTTTCTTCCGGTGGTTCACTAGAACATCTTCCAGAGACTCAGACCCAATAGGGAAATTATTCACATGACTGTAGGTATGAAGGCTAGTTTTGCGGAAATTGGTGAGCAATGGGCCAGGATTCTGTAGACTGTTAATTGAGGAACAGCTGGATGGAAACTGGGTAATACAAGACAGAAATTAAAGATGCAGAACGGCTAAGCCTTAAAAATAACTGACTTGACATCATAGATGTATATAGAATACACTACCCACCAAGAGCACAGGATACATTTTTCTCCGTTACACATAAAATACTCTCCAAGCTTCTGGTACTAAGAGTATTGTTTGTGGACTCAATTAAGATGAAATCATAGACAATTTCAGTCTTTTCTCCATCTATTAAGATGTTGCTTTTTGGCCTCGTGGTGGGGATATTGAGATGTAACCAATCCTGAAGGCTGTAGTTCTTGACTACCTGCCTCAAGCACCTCAGGTCCTCCTTGCTTACAGCAAAGTTTTATCATCTGCATAACACAGGTTATTGATCAGTCTTCCTCTAATCCTGATGCGACATTCCTTTTTATAAGATCCCACTTCTTGAATGATTTGCTTAGCATACATATTAAACGGGTATGGAGAAAGGATACAGTCCTGAGATAGACATTTCCTAATTTTAAACCCATGCAGTGTTCCCTTGGTCTGCACAATAGCCTAATTGATGGTGTGTTCCACAGTCAGCTCCTGGCTTGGTTTTGACTGATGATTTTGAGCTTCATTTTGGGTTCTCAATGTATCTGCCACTCTACCTTTATCAGGGAGCTCTGGTGGCCTAGTGGCAAGAAGCAAACTGCTGCAATCCCAAAGACAGGGTTCAAGGCCACTGGCCACTCTGGGGGAGAAGGATGGCCAGTGTACTCCCACGCAATTAACTGCCTCTGAAAAACCACCAAAGGGTCAGTTATGGGTCAATTCTGACTCTACAGTACACAACAACAACATACCTGTATCAGACTGCTTTGATTACCATGACTTTGTAGTAGGTTTTAAGATCAGGAAGTGGAAGGTCTCCTGTTTATTTTTCTTCTTCAGTAATATTTCACTAACCCGAGGTGTCACTTCTTTTCATATAAAGTTGATTACTTTTTTCCATCCATTTGAAGACTGAAGACAGTATTTGAATTGAGATTGTATTATACCTGTGATAACTTTTGGTACTAGGGTCATTTTCACAATGATAAGTCTTCCTACCCATGAATATGGTATATTTTTCCATATCGTTCTCTTTTTGTTTCTTGTGGAAATGTTTTGTCATTTTCTCTGAATAGGTCTTTAGTGTCTCTTAAGTATTTAGTATTATTTCCTAAGTATTTCATCTTTTGGGTGACTATTATAAACTATTTTTGCTCACTTGATAGACAGCTAAACTAGATTAGAGTTGGCTTGTACAGAAATAATATTGTTATGCTGGAGGTTGCAACCAGCACTCAAGAGTAGAGATAAAGCCTGGTAGTCTGAGTTATTTAGGACGTGAGAGTAGGATTATTAGAAGTATAATAGAATCGTCGTCGTTGTTGTTGTTGTTATGTGCCGTCAAGTTGACTGTGACTCATTGCGACCCTATGTACAACAGCCCTAAACTCTGCCCTATCCTGTACCAGTCTCACCATCTCTGACACACCTCTCCCCATTACTCCAGTTACTGAATCAGTCCATCTCATTGAGAGTCTTCCTCTCCTGCGCTGTCCCTCCACCCTCCCAAGCATGATGTCCCTCTTCAAGAACCGGTCCCTCCTTGCATTATGTCCAAAGTATGTCAGACGAAGCTTCAGAATCCTTGCCTCCAAGGAGCAGCCCAGTTTCACCCTCTCACGGACAAACCTGTTTGTTTTCCTAGCAGTCCATGGTATATTCAATACTCCAACACTACAGCTCAAAGGCATCGATTCTCCTCTGTCATCTCTAGTCATTGTCCAAGTCTCTGATGCATAGCAAGTGATTGCAAAGACCATGATATGCATCAGACACACCTTAGTCTCCAGCCTGACATCTTTGCACTTCAGCACTTTAGAGAGGTCTCTAACCACAGACTTTCCCATTGCAATGCGTCTATTAATTTCCTGGCTACTGGTGCCAAGAGTGTTGACTGTAGATCCAAGCAATCCAAAACTGTGAACAATTTCAATCTCTTCACCATCCATCCTGATGCTGCCAATCAGCCCAGTGGTGAGAATCTTTGTTTTCTTGGTATTGAGTCTCAATCCATACTGAAGACTGCAGTCCCTGACCTTCCACAGCAAGTGCTTCAGGTCCTCCTCAGTTTCAGCAAGCAGGGTTATGTCATGTGGAAATGTCGTACTTGGAAAGCACCTGAGATATATGCATAGGTCACTTGAGTTAGACTTCTTGTAGGCATTCATAGAATTGCTAGTAGAAGTTGACACCCATTAGGAATTATATTCTACTTGTTAACCATGGAAAGCTAATACATTACTATGTGATGGACACTGCTCAGAGTGGCTTAGTGGGATTGTGTATTACAAGACGGGATGCTAATGGAAAGATGATTGGTTTGAGTTCCCCCTTAGCTCCACAGGAGAAAGATATAACATTTTAAAGCCTCAGAAACTCATTGAAAATCATTGTGAGTCATAATTGCCTCGGCAGCATTGAGTTTGTTTTGGTTTAGGCAGTGTTCAGAAGTCAGTGGCACAAGTGTTTTTTATCTGGCTGCTGACTGAAAGGTTTGTATTTCAAACTGATCCAGTGACTCTACAGAAGAAAAAGCCTGTTGTTTTTATGTAAAATACAGTTATGAAAACTCTGTGGAGCAATTCTACTCTGTCATTACTTACTCTGTAATGGGATCACTGTAAGTTGAATTCAAGCTAACTGGACAGTTGTTCACAATAACAGTAGCCACTGTTCTAAGTGTTTTTATAACACCTTTTGGTAACAGTTAAGAAAACAGAGGTGTAGGTAATTTGACAATCTGGTTCCATTTTCTACACAAGAGCTAGATTTCTGTCATAAAATTAGTTCAGTCTAGGATTGACAAACTATATAACCTACCATCTTTTTATACAGCATGTGTGCTGAGAATGATTTTTACATTTTTCTAAATGGTTGAAAAAATGAAAAGAATTTCTTTTAGGACATATGAAACACCAAATTCAAATTTAAGTGTCTATAAATAGTTTTATTGGAGCATAGTCACACTCATCTGCCAACTTATAGTCTATGACTACTTCATAGTACAGGAGCAGAGTTCAGTAGTTGTAGCAGGGAGATCTCAGCATTTGGTACAGGATACAGCGCATTACAAATCACAGTGATTTAGTTATAACTCAACAACATTGAGAGTGCTACTCATGTTGCCGTACTGTGAAATTTTATTACCAGTGTAGTGTGTACCCATCACCTTAAAACAATAAAATTTCCTTTGAATCCTCTGTTATAAGGTAAAATGAAAGGTAAATGACTTTATTACTGAATTAGATGGCATTGCATTGTTTACTATGCAATGATATTATGACTAAAAGAATACAGTAAACATTGACATTACCGGAGTAAACACTTTTCAGAATATTTCTAACTCAGGAAAATAATGGTTAGAAAAGTTAGAAAATTTATAATGGAGTTATATCTCATCACATCAGAAGTTTTTCACAAAATTAAAATGAGGCTACAAATATTTTTTGAATTGTTCATTGTAAACCAAGCAAGGAAAGCCATTTACAAATGATGACATAATTCACATTTGACTGCAGCAGAGAGAATAAAGACTTTTAGCCTGCAAACAAGAGCAGTTCCTTAAAGAGTTGACATTGGGAACAACGTTCACAGCCAGTTAAAATGGAAGCAAATGGTTTTAAGTAGTTTCCCCAGGCATTTGAAGAGTTAAAAGATGTTAACATGTACTGCTAAGTTGTTCTTTATTCAAGAAATCATTGCTGAGTTTGAAATGACTGAAGAAACCACCCTCTAAGTCATTTGCACAGAGCAAATTATTGGGGAAAAGTTTTCAAAATTTAGAAAACATTAAATCAGAACAACTTGAAATGGGTTCGCTGTCATATATTTTAGCCTATAGTGGTAAAATAATTTAGCACATTTGTTGTTAGGTGCTGTCAAGTCGAGTACAACTCATAGCAACCCTGTGAACTACAGATCTGAACCCTGTCCTATCCTGTGCCATCTTCACACTTTCTGACACATAAGAGCTCGTTACGGCAATCACCATGTCAATCCACCTGCCCAAGGGTCTTCCTTTCCTTCGTTGACCCTCTACCCTTAAAAGCATCATATCCCTCTTCAAGGAATAGCCGCCTCCAGGCATAGTGCCCAAAGTATCACTCTTGCCTCCAAAGAGCACTTTGGCTGCACCCTCTCTCCAAGACATACGTATTTGTTGTTCTGACTGTCCATGTGATACTCGGTGCTCTTCTCCAACATCACAGCTCAAAAGCATCAATTCTTATCTCTTATCGCTATTCATTGTCTGGCTCTCAGATACATAGCAAGTAATTGGAGAGACAATTCCCTGAATCAGACCCACTTTAGTCCTCAAACTGACAACATCATTACTCTTCAATAATTTGGATAAGTCCCTAACTGCAGACTTTCCCAGTGCAGTAACATCTCCTGATTTCCCAATTGCTGGTACTAAGGATGTAAATGTAAGATGAAGTTATTGACAATTTCAGTTTCTTTTCCATCCATCATGATGTTGCCTATCAGTCCAGTGGTAAGAATTTTTGTTTCCTTGACATTGAGATGCAATCCATATTGAAGGCTCCATTTCTTGATCTTCTGCAACAAGTGCTTCCAAGTCCTCCTCCTCACTTTGAGCAAGCAAGGTTGTGTCATCTGCATAATGCATATTATTGGTGAGTCTCCTCCCCAATCTTGACATCACATTCCTCTTCATAGAGCCCAGTTGCTCAAATAATTTGCTCAGCTTTCAGACTGAATAAGAATAGAGGGAAAACGCTGACATACTCCCTTCTTAAACCATATAGTGTTCCGTTACTCTGTTCCCTTACACAATAGCCTCCGGTCCAGGTATAGGTTTCACATGAGCACAATTAAGTGTGGATACCCATTCTTCTCAATGTCACAACTTGTTGTGATCCACACAGTCAGATGCCTTTGCATCATTGATAAAGAAGAAATAGACATTCTTCTGGTATTCTTTACTTTCAGCCAGGATCCATCTGACATCAGCAATGATATCCCTAGTGCCCTGGCCTCTTCTAAATCCTGCTTTAACTTTTAGCAGTTCTCTATCTATGTATTGTTCTAGCGTTTTTGAATGATCTTCAGCAGTATCTTGCTTACATGTGATATTAATGATATTGATAGTTTCCACATTCAGTTGGATCACCTTTCTTAGGAATAGGAACAAATATGGACCTCTTCCAACCTGTTGGCCAGACAGCTATCTTCTGTATTTCATGGCATAGGCTGGTGAGCACATCCAAGGCTACATCTGTTAGTTGAAACTAGTCAGTTCGTATCCCATCAATTACTGGGGCCTTATATTTTGCCAATGCCTTCAATGCAGCTTTACTCTCCTTCTTCATTACCATTGGCTCCTGCTCATATGTTACTTCCTGAAATTTTTCAGTGTCAGTAAGTTCGTTTGGTACAGAAAGTTTTAGTTGGGCAAATTTACCTGTTGTGAAAATGTAAAGTGTTTAAGGTGTATTATTACCTTTATCATCCACAGGTGTTTGTTAGGTGCTGTCAAGTTGAGTATGACTCAGTGACCCTGTGAACAAAAGATCAGAAAACTTTTCTATCCTGTGCCATCCTCATGCTTTCTCACACACAAGAGCTTATTGCAGCAGTCACCATGTCAGTCCACCTGGTTGAGGGTCTTCCTCTTCTTTGCCAGCCCTCTACCCATCCTACCTTTCCACCTGATTTCTTAAATAAACCATAAAGATTTTAGCTAATGATTGATGTGTTTATGAAAATGTTTATTAATATAAGTTATGTGTTTGTCATTTCGAAGATACAGAAAGTTCTGTAAATTCCTTTTTACCTTTGCTGTCCCCTTTATCAGATAGATACCTGCTTTAGGGCACATTGAAGTTAAGCCTGGAGGTTAATGTTTTAAAACAAGTGCTTTTACTTATCCTCTCATCAAAAGAAGGGAGAGTACTCACTTTGAACTACATTTTAAGCACATAACGTGCATTGTAAATGAATAAGCTTATTTAATCTTTACAGTCTAAAACATGAAGTTACTGGAGAGTTTTGAAGTGAAGGCATAGGTAAGTATTTTTAACTAAGGTCAAAGGACAAATTTTATGATCCACATCTAAACCTCTATATTATAGTTGACTATTGGTACTATAACTTCTTTAAATGACTACAGTAGGTTCTGTTATTCCTTTCTCCTTTCTAAGCACCCTGATGGTGGTATACACTAAGCATTGGGCTGTTAACTGGAAGGTTAGTGGTTCCAACCCACCCCCTACTCTGTGGGAGAAATATGCTGGCAGCTTGCTCACCTAAAGATTTACAGCCGTGGAAACAATCTGGCTACATTCTTCTCTGCCCTGTGAGGCAGAATCAAGTTGACAGCTGTGGGGGTTTGCATTTGGTTCCCCCTTTCTATTTCTTGTATGTAACAAAAACAAAAATGATCTAGTTTTTGCCTTTATCACACTATGGTGAAAAAGTTCATGTTTTAGGAATGCTTTATAAACAGATTTGGGACTTGGGGGTGATTTTCAGTTCTAGGCAAATTGACCCTTGTGCAGTGGCAGGAAAAATAAACCTATTTTCTTTCTAAGGTAATGAAAAGTAAACATTCGTGGAAGTTACTGTATGAGAGATACAATACTTAGTATAGTATATGTATGTATTCAATGTTAACTCTGTTCTACTGTGGAGATAGCAACTAGACACTAAGAATTTTTCCCTGAGTAAGAATCTTATCTTCAGATTTTGGTTTCTTGCCATGTCATTTTTAGTATCTGCTTATTTGCTGAAAAGGAAAAGTTTGCCTAGTTTTCTCTCACTCCTTCTAGCCTTAAGATTTAGTCTATATAGGTCATTTGTCCAAATCATTTTTCTTATCAACAAATAATTTTTTTTTAAGAATTTTTTAATTTTTGTGTGAGTGTACCATCAAATCAGATCTGACTGGTACAGGAGGAGATTGTCCCTCCTTTTTCTGGCAGAGCATCTGGTGGATTCGAACCGTGTGCCTCTGGGATTGTAGTTGCAGCTGCTTGCCACTAGGCCACCAGAGCTCCCCTCAACAAATTATTTTAAAAATAAAAGTTTAAGCTTGATTTTCTGCATAGCATTTTCCATGAAAATGAGGTTTTCCTGTGCCTGTCGATAGTTTTGTGTAAAATTTGATTCCAAGTTAATAGATTGCTTTATCTTTACATCACTTTTGTACAGATTTGTTTTGCTATTTAAGTTAGAATATGACTAATCATAATGTTTAAAAATACTCATTATTGGATTGGTGCATTAAAGGAATACTTCAGGACAAATGACTCGGAAAAGCGATTTAACCTGGGGCTTAGATACCAATCTAGAGATATTCTGGAACCAGAGAACCGAGTCATATCTTAGACAATGTTGGTCTGTCTTGACAAGATACAAGATGATTTAGATTTGTGCTTACATTCCTAGGTGACCGAGTTATTGATGTGGGATCTGAATGGAGAACTTTCAGCAATGACAAAGCAACAAAAGATCCATCTCGAGTTGGAGATTCTCAGAATCCTCTTCTGAGTGATGGAGATTTATCTACCATGATTGGCAAGG